CAGTTTAATCCATAATAATGCACTTTCCCTCATAATAGTTAGATTATGCATATTTTTCCTATGCTTATTAGGCATTTGTTCTTCCTCTGAGACATGTCTGTTTATATCTTTTGCCCATTTTTTTCTTTTAGGTTGCTTTTATTGTTTGCTAATGTTGGATATTTCTATATATTCTGAGTGCTGACTTCTATTTTTTTTTTTAATGTTGCATATGTTAAAAACATTTCTCCATAGTGTCACTTTTATCTTTTTTTCTCATGTCTTTAGTTATAGGAAATTTAAATAAGATCTGTATCTTAAAGATATAACCTTCTAGTTAGCAGTCAAATAAATACCTTGGGCACTGAGCCACTAGAGCTCCATGCATTTAGTTATAACCACCCCCTCAAAAAAAAAAAAAAACCTCACTGCCCTCGAGTCCAATCGACTCACAGTGACCTCTCCTTGGGTTTCTGAGGTGGGTATCTCTACAGAAGATTGCCCCATCTTCCTTCCGAGGAGTGGCTGGTGGGTTTGAACTGCTAGCCTCTGGTTAGCAGTCAAATGCCTTAGGCATTACACCACCAGAGCTCCCATGTAGTTATAGGAAATTTAAATAAGATCTAATAGTAAAATGTGTGAGCTTTCAGAGCTTTTTTTCTTATTCAAGAAAAGTGTTTATATCTTTTTTTGAGAAAATGTTGTTGTTGTTGTTAAGTGCCATGGAGTCGTTTCCAACTCATAGCGACCCCATGCACAGCAGAACGAAACACTGCCCGATCCGCGCCAGCCCCACAATCCCTGCTATACTTGAGCCCATCATCGCAGCCACCGTATCAATCCATCTCGTTGAAGGCCTCCCCCTCTTTCCTCGACCCTCCACCCTACCAAGCATGACATCCTTCTCCAGGGAATGGTCCCTTCTTACAACATGACCAAAATAGGTGAGACGAAGTCTGGCCATTCTTGCTTCCAAGGAGCATTCTGGCTGCACTTCCTCCAGCACAGATCTTTGAGAAAATATTTTCCTTCAAAAGACTTTTATAGTTTTCTTACTCATGTTTAACTTTGCAATAATTATTTTTTGTGTGTATTGTGTGACGTATAAACTTTTTCCCCAAACAGTAAGCCATTATTCATGTTACTTGAAGGATGTTGTTGTTGTTATGTGCCGTCGAGTCAGCCCTGACTCATAGCGACCCCTCCTTGGGTTTCCGAGGCAGTATCACTACAGAAGTAGGATTGTCCAACCTTCCTTGAAGGATATACATCCTTAATATGCATTTTGTTCTCCTATTACATGGATCTGTTTCTGGAGTCTCTATTATGCTATGTTGTTGATTAATGGGCTTACGGTAGTACTTGATTGTTCTTGCATCACACTTTTAGATATTCAATAGCCTAGACATGTGACTGCTAACCAGAAGGCTGGCGGTTCAAACCCACCAGCCACTCCTTGGAAGGAAGACTGGGCAATCTACTTCCATAGAGATACCGCTTTGGAAACCCAAGAAGGCATCACTGTGAGTTAGATCCAGCTCCATGGCAGTGAGTTTGGTTTTTCTTTTTTTTGGTTTAGGAAAGCTGATAAAGCAATGTATTCATTTTTTTTCTTCTTAAAAAATAAATTTAAAAATAAAATAAAGATTCTTCTCACATATTTCTTTTCCAAATATATTTTAGAATGGATTTTTAAAATTTCATTTTTTTAGATGCATTTAATTTAAATATGTTTTGGTAAATACATGTGTATTTCCTCAAAGATATATTTTATGATCTATTATTTTGGGAGAAATTCATTAATTTTCAGATATGTGGGAGCCCTGGTAGCATACTGCCTAAGGCACTTGAATGCTAACCAGAAGGCTGGCGGTTCAAACCCACCAGCCACTCCTCAGAAGGAAGATTGGGCAATCTACTTCCGTAGTGATACTGCCTTGAAAACCCAAGGAGGGATCACTATCAGTCAGGTCCGCCTTGACAGCACATAACAACAACAACAACATCAGATATGTGCTTAGCAGTTCAGGACTGGGGCATAAATGACTTGTTAAGAGCAATGAGGGATGTTATCTGGGTTTCTTCATTATTTTTGTGACTGTACTCTAGGATGGCAATTGAAAGAAAAAAAAAAAAAATAGAATCTAGACGAAAAATAGTGGGGAAGAGCCCAGGGACTAAGTGCAACAGAAGAAAGAAGAAAAACTAGAAACAGTCAAAGAAACGTCTTGTCCTGGGCTCTCCTCTGACCTGCACATAGAAATGTAGATCCGGGTCAGGAGTATGAAGGCCCACCAATCTCTCGACACCCAGGGGCGCTGTGGGCATAGACAGAGTGTCTGACATGTGTGTACTCTTTCCAAAACCAAAATTCACTGTTGTCAAGTCAAATCCAACTCATAGCGACCTCTCTTTGGGTTTCCAAGGCAGTATCTCTATAGAAGTAGATTGCCCAATCTTCCTTCCGAAGAGTTTCTGGTGGGTTTGAACCTCCAGCCTTCTGGTTAGCAGTCAGATGCCTTAGGCACTATGCCACTAGAATTACACTGTGCTACTCTTGCACTCACTCCCTTCTTTCTTTTCCCATTTTGATTTCTGGATCAGTCATATCCTCAGTCTCTGCAGAGGAATCCACAGGGCCCAGATGACAGAAAGCAAAGCCTTAACTTTTAGGTAAAACCCATTAACCCAGCGGATTCTGACTTGTGATGACGCCATGTATTATAGAGTAGAACTGAGCTCCATAGGATTTTTTTTTTTTTTTTTTTTGGTATGTAATCTTTATAGAAGCAGCTCTCCAGGCCTTCCTTCCGTGATGTCACTGAGTGGTTTCGAACTGCTAACCTTTAGGTTAGTAGTTAAGTGCTAACCACCTGCACCACCCAGGGACCTGACTTTCAGACATGTCAGTTTAAATTCCTGTCCTATCTCTGATCAATTGTGAGCCTTTAGGTAAATTAGCCTATAGAAGTCAGAGTTTTTTTCATATGTAAGATGGAGACTTCTAGAAAGCTAGCAGAGCATACTTTACAGAAGTACACTATAAAATGATCTACAAATTAAACAATCTCAAATAAATCAGTGCAGTTTATTGCACACATGGACCAGGAAGAGAGTGGGCCTGCTGTTTAGGAGATGATTCTGCCTTCAGGACCATCAACATCTCCCTGAGAGTTCACAGAGCAGATAGACTCTCTGTGTCTTTGGAGAGATAGTATAGGGAAGGTCTGGAAATAAATAAGACTTTATTAAATCCCAAGTATGTACAGGATACTGTTGTATGCTTATGGGATGTGCAGAAGAAATTAGGTAAATATGATATGACAGAGTCCTTGCTCTTATGAGCCTATGTTTTAGTTAGTGACTCAAAACTTTCCCAAGAGAAACATTAGACACAGGGCAAAACAAAATGTTATTGCCAGAATGGGTAAAACAACAAAACAGATTTAGATGAGTTGCTGAAGAATTCCAGATCAAAGAAATATATGAGAAATTAGGGAGCAAGGGCTTCTTGGTGATAGTGGTACAAAAGGATTTAATGCTGGGCATAAAATAGCACTCTACCAGAGACCTACCCCAGAGAGATATGCCCACCTACTCTAGGGAGATGTACCCCTTAGATCAACCAGCCATGAGACATCAGAGGCAGAACTCACATAGAGGGAAAGCTGGACAGACAAGGATACATAGAAAAGAAGGGCACAGGGAGGGGGTAGTCACAAAGAGGAGAGGAGAGGAGGGTTTCTATGTTTGGGGATGGTAATCAGGGCCGTGATATCAAATGTTCATAAACTGTTGAAAGTAAAACAAATCTGCTTTGTAAATTTGTACCTAAAGCACAGTAAAATAAAATAGCATTCTGCCACTTGCTTGTCAGTTTGTTGTACTGTGGTGATCTGCATATTGCTGTGATGTTGAAAGCTATCTATGCTGCCAGTACATCAAATACCCATAGAGTCCCCCATGGTGGGCAGATTTCAGCAGAGCTTTCACATAAATACAAAGTAGGAAGAAAGACCTGGTGATCTACTTTCAACATTAACCAATGAAAATCTTACGGATCACAAAAGGATGTTGTCCAATATAATGCTGGAAAACAAGCCCCTTAGATTGGAAGGCACTCAATAAAAATATATCAGCAATCATGAATGTTATGTTTTATTCTGTTGTGCATGGGGTCACCATGAGTCGGAGAAGACTTGACAGCAACCAACAGCAACATAAAATAGCACTATGTCATAAAAAGCTGACTGGTGATAGCTTTTTCAAAGTTGAAAGGGATGTTATTTAGCAAAGGCTCAAATGCAGGATATAATAAATTAAGATCTAGTAAATTGCCGGTGACTCTAGTGGTAATTAAACAAATAGCTAAGTACCTTGTGTTGGCTGACTAGAGGTCAGGAATAATTTCATTTAATGAAAATTTGGTTTATGGATATCTGGAAAACTGTGATATACAAGTATTAATTCTCGTTTTATATGCAAAATTTGCAATGATGTTAATCTACCCAAATAAAAAAATACTCTGATAATTTCAACCAGTTGGCCTAAGTAAATTATATTATATATTTGTTTATGCTGTTTCTACATGGGGGTGTCACTTCAGTTAGCAAACAGAAATAGCAGCTATTGCTGTTTTGATTTGTGAGAAGCCTTTATTCCTGATAAAACCTTGGAGAAACAGGTAGTGATAGCATGGCTGCTAGCCTCTGCTTTCCCTCTTTTATTTTTAATTTCTCTTCCCATCATGGATTTTTCTTACCCACTTTCCTACTCCTCTGTGCCTTCTCCTCTCCCACTTTTTCAACTCCACTTCTCCCATCGGCATCCCTTTCTTAAGACCCTCTCTCCCTATCTCCTTAGTGGTTAGAGGCTTGGGAATAGAGACAACAGAAGGGGCCCACTGCTCTACTTCAGGACCATTACCTTCACTGTGAACTAAAGAGAGTGCTATGCCCGTGGCTGAGAGAACCCACAAAGAGAAAGATGAGGATACTCTGCCAGGCATTCTAAGCCCTATCTTAGAGTGAGCTTGTTGCAAGGAGGAGAGCCTGGTCATCTTTCTCTGACTGCTCCACTTCCTGCAGCAACTTGTAGAGGAGTCCTGGATGGCTGGTCTGATATGGAGCTTCTTTGGACCCTGTGAGCTTCAAGCTGGGATTGAACCAATGATACCAAAAGGATGAGAGGCCATAGATTCCCAGCTGGCATGAGGCATTGATCATCACATGCCAACAGAAGAAGGTTGTAACAAATATGATGTCACTCATGTCATCGTCCTGCCATGGGTATCCAGTGACTGGTTTGTACAGAATAAAGCCTGCCTGCATCAGCCAGGAACCCATCATCAGAAACAGAAAAGTCTCGATCAGCCAGAGGTAAGACGTATCAGGAGCCCACAGCTCTGTGGTCAACACCAGCAACAGCAAGAAGACTACTAAGATGAGCAGAGCATGAACCTGTAGTTCCACCCCTACAGAGGCCTGACTGTGTGACACCAACAGCAGCAGGAGAACGTAGAAAGTCAGGACCATAGTGCTTTTTTCTAAGACCACACATCTCTGAGGCAACAAGTTCTTGCTCATGACGTCTACACAGCCAATGAGGGTGAGGAGGATGAACATGGTAAGATGCTGCCACTCCTTGGGATACATAAACCTTGGTGGCACCTGCTTGCTCATCAACACCATCCCATCATCAAGACAGATGACCACATAAGCTGTTAAGATGGAGCCAGTCACCATCTTCAACAAACCACCGTAGGATATTGTCCACAGCATGGCCCATCTCCCCTTACTCCTGGGAGGGTGTGAAGGATACAGGAGAGAGTCATTGAATATCATGGCCTTGGAGACCACTATTGTCTGATATAGTCCATAAGAGAAAAGATACAGCCCTGGGTAAAAATGACCATTGAATTTTCCCATGGGATTACAGGTCTGTCTGATTAAGGAGTGAAGAACAAAACTCAAGACTTTCTTTACTTCCTCTCCCTCAGAAGCCACTCAAGTTTTGGGGTGTATATAAAGAGTTAACGTCCACCTACTTTTATCATCCCCCTCTGCCCGTTGCTCTCCCACAGAATAGAAGGTTCTCACAACAGCCTACGCATTTGGTTGAATGGGTCTCATTGTTCCATTCCATTTTAGTACACTGGGAACTAACTCAATTCTGCCAAAGGAGAAGATGGATGTTTCCTAGTCTGCACCTGTAGAAATGTGTGCTCAAAGGGCTTCTGCTTTTGAACTCTTGAGGCACTTACTGTCACACTTGTTCTTTTTCCCCTTAGCTTGCTTCGCCTGCTCCTGCCCAGTACTAAGGGTGCAGTGGAGAGATGCTTGGGGATAGGGATTATCTAGAGAAGGCCTAGGTTACACACAAATGGTTGTATATCCTATAAGACTTTACTCATATACTGAGGTAAAAAATATTCTTTGTTAACATAAAAGCTTATAAACATTATATATGGCCACATACGTAATGTATGTGCCCACATATACACATGCTCAGCAACTAACTGGTCTCTTCATTCTTCTGTGACAGACACATTTTAGAGACCACCAAGAAAGTCCTTTATCTGTCCCCAAATCACTGTTGGCCAGTGGATGAATCTGAAAAGCTACCTTTTGAGATCAATTTTGGGGTGTCACGATACAACTTTTTATTAAAATGCAGATCCTGTTGAAAGGAATAATTCTAATGAGCAGCTTATATTTTAATGTAAAATATCTCAGTTTCTTTCTCTCTTCAGTTATCATTTGTTTTGTGTCTAATACACATAGGAAGAGAGAGTCCTAGACACTAGATGGTAACCAGCTGCATGTGATAGTTAACATGCTTAGCTGCTAACTGAAAGGTTAGAGGTTCATTTGCACATCAAGGTGACTCAGAAGAAAGCCTGCTGATCTGCTTCAAATAATCTGCCATTGAAAACCCTATGAGCACAGATACTGGAGATGGAATTAATTCAATGGCTACTGGTTTTATCCAAGGTAAGAGTCTTTGATTAGAGGGGATGGTCTAAAACAAGATACTGGGAATGCAAGACATGTCCCAGCCATAAAAATGCTTCCAATTTCATTGCAGAGGGTACAGGGAATAGAGTTTCTCTGGGGGTGGTAGGTGGGCTAAAGGGAGAAGAAGTTTATCACTGAACATGAACTGTGCTGACTTCTGCATAATTGTCATGTCCTCAAGTTACAAGCAATATTGTGGGGCAGAAAGGCAACATCTGGATGCTGATAGCTCCCTTAGTAGGAAGGAGGCCAGTTTACACTCATGTCCTAAGACTGCCTCTGAGTCCTCATGCTTATCCAAATATCTACCCTATTAAACCCACTTAATACCAGACAAATCCAATCTCTTAATTCCCCTGAGGTTAGAAGCCATTTCTTGACAGTGAGAGAATGGGAATTTGACTGTAGAAGTGTCATAGAATGGAGAGCTAATGATTGTTTTATAAAGAGACTTTCTTTAATTCATTTTAACTTCAACTTTGATTTCTAGTTCTTAAATAAGTGTGGCATATATTGGCTAGCAATTCACCAAATTCATTTTCTTTTTTGGTATATCAGTAGATTAAAATTCCTGTCCTGCCTTACAGTCAGATGTAGCATTGCAACTGAGTTCTAGTCAACGAAATGTGAGTGGAAGTGATATTTATTAGTCCCTGGTCTTGCCCCTTCCCTCATATACTCTTCCATGCTACTTTCCTTTCTTTTGGAATATCACAAATTGCTTGGAAGTCATTTGTTGTTGAAGATGGAGAAGCCCTAAGATATAAGGAAGATGGTTTCCTGAATTACTCCTTGTAGGAGACTTAGGCACTGATGACGATCACTCATTTTGAAATACATATGAACAGATGTGTGTGTGTGTGTGTGTGTATAATAGGGAGCTCTGGTGCTGTAGTGCCTAAGGCATTTGACTGCTCACCACAAGGCTGGCGGTTCAAACCTACTGTCACTCTTTGGAAGGAAGATGGGCAATCCATATATAATTGTTGCTGTTATATTTTATATATATATATATATATATATATATATATATATATATAGTTGTTATTGTTGTTGTTGTTAGGTGCCATCGAGTCAATACTGACTCTCAGCGACCCCTTGTACAGCAGAACAAAACACTGCCCTGTTCTGTGTAATCCTCATAATTCTTGCTATGCATGAGCCCATCGTTGCAGCCACGTGTCAATCCATCTTGTTGAAGGTCTTTCCCTTTTTGCTGACTCTCCACTTTTCCAAGCATGATATCCTTCTCCAAGGAATGCAAGGAATGGACCCTTCTCACAACATGACCAAAGTAAGTAAGACAAAGTCTGTCCATTCTCACTTCCAAGGAGCATTTCAGCCACACTTCCAGGAAAGATTTGTTCCTCTGGCAGTCCATGGTACATTCAGTATTCTTTGTCAACACCACAATTTAAAGGCATCAATTCTTCATTGGTCTTCTTTATTCATTGTCTAGCTTCACATGCATATAAACCAAAAAAACCAAACCCACTGCCATCGAGTCGATTCCAACTCATAGCGACTCTCATTGGGTTCCCGAGGTAGTAAATCTTTACAGAAGTAGATTCCCCAGTCTTGCTTTCATGGAGGGGCTGGTGAGTTTGAAACACCAGCCTTCTGGTTAGCAGGTAAATGCCTTAGGCACTGTGCTACCAGAGCTCCTTCACATACATATGAGGTGAATTAAAATACCATGGCTTGGGTCAGGTGCACCTTAGTCTTCAAAGTTGCTCTTCAATACTTTAAAGAGGTCTTTTGCAGAAGATTTGCCCAGTGCAATAAAACATTTGATTTCTTGACTGTTGCTTCCATGAATGTTGATTGTGGATCCAAGTAAAATGAAATCTTTGACAACTTTAATATTTCTCCATTTATTTATTTGGTTAAATAATACAAATGTTTGTATTTGTTACAGCAACAAGTTTACCCTAGTTAATGTAAAAGTAATACATAGACATTATAGAATATTTTGGAAAAACCCACAAGCAAAAAAAAAAAAGAGAGAGAGAGAGAGAAGCACCAGCAATCCTATACTTTGAAGTAACCAAGGTTAACATTTTGCAGTAGAAACCCACCTTTAGGAAGGCTAGGATCTGGACTAAAAATTGACTAGAAATCAAGAAACCAAGATCCCAGTTCCAATTTTCTCCTTATTAAGTGAACCACAGAACCATGTTTCTTCTATTAGGAAAAGAAAAAAAAAAAAAAGTTTTGATATCTTTGTTCTCCAAAAAGAGAGAGAAGGATGGAGGGGAGAAAATAAGGGGGAAACATGAGGGCTGTAACACAGAAGTGGGTATACTTTTACCCTATCTTTTTTCCTTTGTTGCTCTTGTTGTTATATGCCGTCAAGTCAATCCCAACTTATAACGAGCCCTCCTTGGTTTTCCAAGATGGCGTCACTACAGAAGTAGATTGTGCAACTTTCCTTCCGAGGAATGGCTGGTGGGTTTGAACTGCCATCCTTCTGGTTAGCAGTCAAGCACCTTAGACACTATACTACCAGAGCTCCTTGTCAAAAAAAAAATCTGGAAAATCTCAGAGTTAAATGAATGCTCAGTGAGAAAAGTCACAAAAGGAAGCTGCCATGAGTGTGACAGTGTGATAGAATGAAACAAGGAGAAATGCCTGATACTTTCTGTGGCTCTTGACTTTGCTTGGGAAATTGCTGAGCTGCTCTGAGGGAAAGACATATTTGGTTAGTAAAATGCATTGTTTTGCTAAATATTTATGATCAGTAAAGAGTCAGTACACATGTCTGAGTGCTTTGTTCTACCCAGAATGGACTGCAAGTCTCAGAAAGGGCCTTTGATCTCTCACAACTGTGGGTGTGAGGGACATAGTGGACACTCTGAGACAAGCAGATGCCATCATTCTGCTGATTACCACGTTTATCTCCACCTCTTGGTCACTCCTGGAAGCTTGGGATAAGGATGCTAATAGTCAGAGGAGAAGGGACAAAATACAACACAGTGCACTAGTTCACTGCAAGTTCAAGGTTGAAATGTACATTGGTCATGTAGACCCACTTCAAGCCACCGCCTTGGCCAGGCATCAAGGTTACACGGTGTTCATTAAAGCATTAGTATCCTGATCCCAGAACTTTAAAAATCAGAATCGCCCACCTCAAACCAGACGCTGCCCACAAAAGCAGAGAAAGAAGCCAAAGGTGGTGAATGATTAGCAGAACTGCCAGACAGCTTGAGTCTGTGGACACCGAGTACCTGGAAAGCTGCTTTATGAGGAAAACTCCGTATGATTAAAAAAAAACCCATGGAGGTTATTCATGGACTGGCTCTTTTGCAGCAAGACTCTCCCACACACACACCCTCTATTCCCCTACCCCCCAGCCATAGCCACTGCCACTTCTCTGACATCATGAATTTCTGCAATGGTGGCAGTTTTCTATCATCAGCACTAATACAGTGGCTATTGAGCACTGGAAATATGGATGGTGAAAGTGAGGAACTGCATTTTAAATTTTATTTTATTTAGTGAATTTAAATTGAAATAGCCACATGTGGCCAGTAGCTACTGTATTGTATGGTATAGCTCTAAAATAAAGAGTTTGAAGGGAGAGAGGTATGACAAAGCTGGATAGAGCTATAAAGGGCAACCTTCTTCTTGTTGTTATGTGTTATCAAGTCGGCCCCGACTCGTAGCGACCCCTCCTTGGGTTTCTGAGGCAGTATCACTACAGAATAGACTGCCCCATCTTCTTTCCAAGGAGTGGCTGGTGGGTTTGAACTGCCAGACTTCTGGTTAGCAGTCAAGTGCCTTAGGCACTATGCTACCAATCTGCTTAGTCATTCTTTAATGATAATCCCAGAAGGGCTTGGAGGAGAATTCCTTCTTCACCCAAGTTGCTCGGGCTACGTCCCATGGATTGTGATATATGGGGTGCTCTC